TATATTTAGGACGGAAAGAGTACGTGTGCGCCACAGTAATATGCATCTGTGTGTGACATTAAGGAATATTCATATGATTATTCTTGAGTTACTGAATAAGGAAGACATATTAAAACAAAGACAAAACTGATTCGTATGAATCCGTGATGGGTTTAATCCCTCCTAAAACATCTTATTTAATCATCATTTACATTGAAAATATTTTATGGTGGAGACTCCTATTACCATGTGTACTTAATTGGAATGGTTTAGGAAAAAAATTTAACTGAGACCATAACAAATTTTCCAAATAACTTATATATTTAAGAAGGAAGGGAATATATTACAGGGATTTAAATTGAAATCATTTGTTCATATTCCAGCATATTTATACAACCTAAGTCAATTTTAAATTAATACTACTGTTATTGTTGATTCTTATAATTTGATTGAATTTTGGCTTTATTTTCTATAGTTTCAAATCGTGCTTGTCATTTTTATAATTTCAGAAGAATTTAACATGAACTAACGGTTTTAAGAATATAAACTAAAATTAAAACTCGTTAAAAATATGATGAGTAAAACCAAATTTGATTTTCACCCCTATACTTAGCAGCATGGATTAAAAATTTTAATGCCATCAAACTCAGATAAAATTCTTACGAAACTATAAAGACAAAAAATCATAATTTGAAATTATATGGGCTAAAACTAAAATCTGATTAAAAGAAATAAAGACCAATAACAATATTAAGCCTTGTGTTATTTCAATTTTCAACAACAATCAGTATTATATTATTGTAAGATGTTTGACTATTTCCATATTTAAATCTAGTTTCTGTTGAACAAATTAAAACGGTGCGTTTTATGCCATTTCAGACCTTATTAGATATCTCCCTGAGATTTTTTTTTTTTAAAAAGGTCCTGTTCATCATGCATGATGAGTGATGACTATTTCGATCTTGGCCACCTAAAGACGACTTTCTAAATCTCACATATTACGTGAGATTGTATTTCCATTTTTTAATAGTTTCTATTTCCATGGTTAGTAATTAAATTGGTTAATGTTTGGTTATGGGTGTTTCGTGTGTTGCTGATTTTTTTCAAGGCCCAATCTTCTAAAATATAGGAAAGCTAATTTCACCCGTGAAAAATCTGCTAAACTTTGTAATTATATTACTATTTTTAGATTAAATTGCAAAAAAAAAAATCTGATTCTGGAGCCATGTGTAAATAAATTCTCAACAAACAAACCTTTTGGGAATAGTATTTTTTTTTTGAGCCAAGGAATAGTATTTTAAATTTGGAAAGCTTAGTTTAACTAATTCACAATTTGTCAACAAATATACCTCTTGGAATATTAAACTTTTAGAAAGTCTGCCAAATTTTATAATTATATTACTATTTTTAGATTAAATTGCCAAAAAAATTCTGACTCTCGAGTCACGTGGAAATAAATTCTCAACAAATAAACCTTTTGGGAATAGTTTTTTAAATTTGGAAAGCCTAGTTTAACTAATTCACAATTTGTCAACAAATATGCCTCTTGGAATATTAAATTTTTAGAAAGTCTGCTAAACTTTATAATTATATTACTATTTTTAGATTAAATTGCGAAAAAAAGAATCTGACTCTCGAGTCACGTGTAAATAAATTCTCAACAAATAAACCATTTGGGAATATTTTTTTTAAATTTGGAAAGCTTAGTTTAACCAATTCACAAATTGTCAACAAATACGCCTCTCGGAATATTAAATTTTTAGAAAGTTCGTAATAACCTGCTTTTTTTTTTTGTTACCGAAATAACTGGCCTGTTTAATACTACCTCCGGTCCTAATTATAAGAGCCAATTGACTAATTTGAGGAGATTAAGAAAGTAAGTTGAGTTAGTTATTTCTCCTAAATAGGTGTTGTCTTTCCTAAAATATCCTTGCTAATCAAGTGTATTGATTAGAACTACAATTACTAGAAGGACTATCTTGAAAAAAATTGAGTAAAGATGAGAGACAAAGTGGATTGGAATCTTATATTTAGGACCAAAATAAAAGTCAAATAGGGTCTTATATTAAGGACCGGAGGTAGTAGTATTATATACTTTTGGTGGTTGCATAAAAAATTATGTTTTTGGGGACGCTGAAATTAATTTTTAATAAATATACTACCTTCGATTTCGAATTATTTTTAAAATATCAACATAAAACTTCCAGAAAATAAAATTTTTAAATATTTTTTTAAGAAAATAACTTATTTTTAAAGAAAGTTTTACTTCCCCTAAGCTGATCACTAAATGACAAAGAATTTTACTTAATCACAATTAATTAAGTAGCGTGAAATACGTACTGAGGATAACTTCAGATAACTTTAAAAAAATCTTAACTGATGCCTCAAGTTGACGTCAGACTTATCTTCAGAATACTTACTTCGCTTGCGCCAACGTAACTTTGATAGGGGTCAACACAGTTATTTATTTACTTGTTCACCAAAAAAAAAGAAAATTTATTTCCATCTAAATATGCATTATTTATTTTTTGTAAATGAAATTACATAAAACCTCTTGAATTTTATATCATATATAGATAGATGAACTTTCCAGCTATTGAAATTTTATAATAAATTTTCCTGAATTTTTACATTTATGCGAGTAATTGTTATATTATTAGTTTTATTTATTATTTATCTACAAATAAATAATTTAATATTTAAAAAATTTATTTGTATATAACTCAAAGTTCGAGGGGTTATAAACATAAAAAGAAAATAAAGTTTAACTGTTTAACTGGTAAAGAATTGATGGCCTGAATTATTTGTAGAAACGTAAAATTTTAGGTAAGTATTTTTAACTGTCAAAAGGTTTGGGATATTATTTATCTATGATATAAAATTACGGGCTTTTGTGTAATTTACTTTTTATATAAAAATAAAATAAAATAATTTAAAACAAATGAACTGATAAGTTGATACTTGATGCATCGATCTCTTACTTTCTTATTTCTTTTACCGCACTGAAAGATTTTGTGTTCACAATAAATATTATTGAAGTGGCATTTCTTACCAATATTAAATTTAAAACGCGATATAAGTAATAACGGTAATAATTCAAAAACTCATTTTGCTAAGAAAACGGTAAAAGAAAAAAAATATCAAACAGAATGCGAACCGTACATTAAAAAAATAGAGTACAGATAGAGATTTCTCCTCACGATCCTTTCTTTGCTCTCCGCTCTCTCTTTCTGGGTGATCTTTTTACCTCGGATCCTTCGGTAGTTTGCTCTGATCATTTATCGGTTCTGTGGGATTCTCTCTTCGGTAAATGAATTTTACATCGGATTTCTTGTGTTTTTCCCTGCAAAAATTTGGGCTTTTCCTGGCTATCTAGGGCTAAAAGCGCGTTCTTTTGATTGTCCTGTGAAAGAAAAGAACTTGCATTCTTTGTTCATGAGGATATTTACTATATGCGATGTTAATTTCTTTTTTCCCCCGGTCAATGATGTTAATTTCTTATTCGACCCATTAATAAATTTTGTTTTTTTTGTTTTTAATTTTAATAGAGTTGATGTCGGGTTCGTTGTAAGTTAAATTGGTCTCTGAAACTTGGGAGTTGCGACCTTTTCATGATAACGAGGTAAAGTTTTGATGTGTTCTTTTATTGTTTTTGTGGTTGATTAGGTTGGGATAATATGGGTGCGGTGCTTTCTTTGGTTGTTAACAAATGATGAAGGAAAAAGGATATTTTCTTTTACACTTTGCTTTAAATATTTGTTTGCTTGCTCAATAAATCACAAGGATTCTGAAACTCATTCCCATAGTCAAGCTTCACGTCTTTGAATATTTGCAGTTATTATTTTTTGTTCATCTCAAACTTTGAAATACGCCTGTTTTGTGTATATTTTGGAATTTTTTGAGGCGTGGCTACAAAAACAAGGAGAAAACTTTTGTTTCCTTTTTTTTTTTTTTGGGGGCGGGGGCGTTTGGAATGCTTATATAGTCTTCTATAGCGGATGATTGATGTGTTATTGTGCTTGGCCCAAACTTGCGATCTTCAGAATGATGAAGCTGCGTCTTTTCCTTGAAGGGCTAAGAATCTTAACAGGATCAAATATTTTATATGCTTGTATTTTTTTTCCCTTTGCATTGCCTATGTATTTTCTATACTTAAATATCCTGGCTGGAAATTTTTGTTGCCGAATGCCTCAATGGCCTTTTTTTTTTTTGTGCTATCAAATTTTGTACAAAAGAACCTATCATCTTGTGGCCGACCACAGAATGATCATGTATAATTTAAGTGATCCTTTTGTTTTAGAAATATGAGAAAACGGCAAAATGAGTATAAGAGCTAATTTGCTATTGTTGGATGAATAATATCAGATGAAGCGCTTAGCATCATGATTAGCATGGATTAACCTGCTTAAGTTTGTGGCGAAATGTTGTATGGTTGTGCAAATAACCCTAAACGCAGTTCTTTCGTTTTTCTCCCCTTTCTGTCTTTCTTTCTTTCTTTCTTTCCTTATTATTATTTTTTTGTCACTTTAGCTTCAATGATTTTACTTGGGGTTCGACTTTTAAAGTTTGTGAAAGTTCAATTGTAAAATTGTTGTTTGATTTACTCCCTGCAGATTGCCCGAGTTTGAATCTTCTTAGCGGTCAAGATGGGTTTTGATCATATTGAAAGAGTGTTGTACGCCTTGACTGCTGGTCTAATCAAACTTCTTGTTATCTTTTAGTTTGTTTAAAAGAAAGATGAGGGAGGCTTTCAGAAACATAGCAAAAGCAAAAGGCCTTTCATGTGATGCAGAATTTATGTGTGCCGTGTGTTTAAGCATGCCATAAACGATCAAGGATCATTATCATATGCCATTTCGCCTCTATTAGTTTTGTATCATACATAGATGTTTTATGCATTTAATTAATTATTAATTTTAATCTTTAGATAATTTGGCATTGTGTTTTACATCTTTAGAATCTCTAGTTCTCTGTTTTCCTTTGTTGTCTTCCTTCTATTTCTTGTTCTTAGTTTTACTCCTGTTTCTCTTTTCCGCAGAGTAAAAAATAAAAATGTGTTGTGCACTGTCTTGGCAAACCCTGAATATAATTGAATATATTTCTGTGCTTCTCTTCTGGTTATTTGTTATCTTTTATTATTATCAAATTCAGTGGCTTGGTGAATTAGTTTATTTAAATAAGTAACCCCTTTTTTATGGACCAGTGGTATTGTGTTGAATTCCTGATTGTAATACTCATGATACGTGCCAGAACATCTTCCTGGGTTACTTGGTAGCCGTTGACTATTATTGATCTGCAGTTACTGAAGGATGAGACGTAAAGGACAAAATAATAGGGGGCGTTGACTGAATGTTATTTTTGTGTGCTTGATATCTCTTTTGTTGTTAGGATTGAAGAATGCGAGAGGTGGTTTTTTCATTCCGCGCTCCTCTTTTGGTTCCTTCTCTTGTTTGTTCTCAAATGATTACATACAATTTTTCTTTATGTGAGTTTGGTTTAGTTTTCTTAAAAGAATGAGGGTTAGGAAAGTATGTTGTAGCATAGTTTATATTTGCAGTATTCTCTATTTGGTTTTCAATTGCATTTTCAAATCTGATTGATTTTATTCTCCTTGTAAAACAGAAATCAGCACATTTTGACTGCATAGATGAGATGACTCATTCAGATATGGATCGGCGAAGGCATGGGAATTCTAATTCTGAACCTTCTACCGTTGTGAGTAGTGCCAACATTTTGCGGCCAAATATCCGCGCAGTGGCAATGGCTTCAGGGAACACGAGTAATGTTGATTCCCACTATTCACCAGATGTCTATGACACTGCAGTAATGCATAGAGGGACACAATACAATGCCATTCAAAATCAACGTAATCTTGATATGGGTGTTGCAGCTGTGGCCAACTTGCATTATTCTGGCATGAATCCTTCTTCTAGTACTGGTGTATTACCGCTTCCTTCAAATCACGGAGCCTATGATCAGTTGCCAGCGTCAACCACATTTGCTGTATACGGAGTTTCTTCAGATAATTTTGGGAGGATCAGCAGCTATGCAGATGACGTCAGAGCTTCATTCAAAAGGAAAAATGCTGAAACTGTCAGGGGCAATTTCCCACATTTTGATGCCTCAGCTAGTTCTTCAGTCGTTCCCCCAGATGCAAGGCACTCTGACGGGGTTACTATTATGGATACTGCTTCCTTGCCCCCTCCTCAATTCCGAGGAAATAGCATCCCTTCACCCATGGACTTAGGTCCCTTTGGTAGTTTGTGGAGCAGGTCAGGTGAGTCTGTTATGGTGCATGAACATAGCCATTTGATTCAAGGTAATTATTTAGGGCAGCCCTTCCAGCCAGTTGCTCCTCCCTGGTTGGATCAACAGTTGAACAACAGTCACAGTGATGGGCATGCTACAGCTTGGAATCAGTCTCTTCCAATGCCTTACGTGCAAGGTAAAGATGCATACAAGGCACATCACGTATCAGTGACATTTTTACTTGGGCACTCTGTTAGCAAGTTGTTATTTATTACGTCTAAGAAGTATACAGTTTTCTGATTAGAAGTGGAATTAATTTTTTTGGATGTTTTGTTTTCAACCATCTATCATTTGAGTTGTGCTACAAATCATATTTTGAGTGTCAAAGAATGTCAAAGCTTTCTTTGAAGATGCGCTGTCTGGTCTGGATTTGGTCTTTCTGACACTCATTCTTATACTTCCCAGCACCCAATGTTAATGGAAGTTCATTGGAGAATGCAACTATGGGTTTGCAGAGATATCATGATTCAGCTAGTAACATTAATGGCCTCAGGTTTGTTCATCCTCTTGTCAACCACCAGTACCATAATTATCATCATCCAGCAGTACCAATGAGAGGATTCAGAGGCCACAATATCATGTTTCAACCTCCAGTAACTGCAGCTTCTTATAGAGTTCCTACAAATCCTTTACGCAATGCTGTGATCCCTGCACAGAATGGTTTTGAGATGGGTCATAGGCCTGTTGGCCTTGTACCTTCAGCAGGCCTACAGGTATATCGTCCTCATAGAGGATACATGAATGAGACAACAATTGGGCATCGAAATCTTCACCCTATGGGCTATCTCCAAGTTGATGTAGTAGTATTCTCTTCTTTCAAATTCTTTCACTATATTTTCTTTATACTGTCTTTTCATGAGTTGGCTATGTTGATTGTTTATGTAGGATGTTGCAATACTGGATGAAGTGGGATTGGTCGACCATCACAGAGATATGCGCTTGGACATTGAGGATATGTCTTACGAGGCAAGTAGTCAAATTCTACTAGCATAATTTTCTATCAATTTAGGTTGTGGACGACCAAAAAGCTTGTTATCATATGAATACTGATCTTATGGGTTTTTCAATTTCATAATTTACACTTAATTTGACAACAGGAGCTTCTCGCATTGAGTGAGCGAATTGGCAACGTAAGCACTGGTTTATCAGAAGAGTCCATTTCAGCTTTAATGAAAACTAGAATTTATGCAACACCCACTATTATTAACCTGGAAGAGGAAGAAGCTTCAGAGGATCAGGAAACTGATTCATGCACAATATGCCTGGTATGAGTTTAATTCGTTTGAATGTGAAAAACTAATTCAGATTTTTGTCTTCAATATGAAAAGATATAACATTTTCCCTAGTAATTAAAATACATGCTTATAATTTCACAGGAGAAATATGAGAACAAACAGAAGATAGGAATTCTTCAATGCGGTCATGAGTATCATGCACATTGCTTGAAGAGATGGCTTAAGGAGAAAAATGTATGTCCCATATGCAAATCGGAAGCATTGAGTCCGGGAAAGGACAAGGATATAAAAACCAAATGAAGGCAAAATCTCTTCGTCTAGCCATGCCCATCATCCCTTTTGGCAACTTTATTTTTGGACACAGTCCATATTTTGTTGTGTAATTTTGTATATGTACTTGCACATATATAGACAGTTCCGCTGTCCAACTCTTTTACTTGTTGGCTCCAGTGACATTGTATCTATCAAATTGTACAGACTTTGTTGTGTGATGTATCAGCTTCGGGTAATTATATTATTACCTTGACATTTTTTGGTTCATTTTGACAAGTATGGTTGGAAGCCCCATTACCATGCTCAGAATGAAGTTTACGTCTTTACTCTTAATGATTCTCTCTGATCTTATAGGTTTTCTTTCTTCCTGTTTTGTTACTGCATTTGGCTTGATAGTGTCATGATGCGTGACCATCCTTGTCTTTGATTGCAGAAATTTTAAATGTTGAAATTTATCTCATATTTGGTCATGGCTTCTTGTTGCTGGTTTTGCATGCGCATCCACCGTCATAGTTTGTTGTTGAGTATAACTTTTGTACATGAAAAACTTAAAAACAAGGCCTAGTTATTGGGGGTTTAATTCTAGAGGACGTGTAGAGAGCAAATCTTTGTAGAGAGCAAATCTTATTAGGATGAGTTTACTTTTTTCCTTGGTTATCTTGACGGAGACCAGTACGAGAGATATTGATCTTCAGTCACCACTTCAAGCTTACGATGATTCATTAGGGACTCAACTTAAAAATCAGATTATAAGCATAATCTATTTTAGTATTGGTTTAACAGTTCAATTTCTTTCAGTTCAATTCGAATCTAACATTAAGACAATATCATTATTTTTCATGAATATAATATAAAATTACCTTTTTGGTATAACGAGTATTTCAACAATTACGCAGGTTATAATATAATCCATGGGATTTAGAAAATGATTCGCAATATTTACGATTTATAAATAATGTAGTTTGCTATAAATTACATTTTGGATAAATTAATTACAAGGTATAATATATCAAGTCTTTATCATCCTCATCACCACTTCATTCTACACCGTAGTTTTTGTTAATCATTCATGTCTATTTTTCCATTTTATTTTTTAAAAATAGAACACAAGTTAAAGACGATTTACCTCAACAAAAATATTGACATTAAAAAGATTCTAAATCATCGATAATTTGAATCACTCCTCTTGAAACGACGGGCGATTCGAATTGACTGTGTCATAGGCATAAAGAAAAATTAATATTTTAAAAAGTAAAAATAAAGTTCAGCAAAAATTATGTAAACATCACCTATAAATTAAGTGATTGATTAGATTATATGGTAATAGTTTAAAAGGTAATTGATGGCAAAAAAGTTTAAAAGGTAATTAAAGAAAATACCGTGCCTTCAACGGAGACAGAAGAAGATTCTGTATAAACAAGCGTCTATATGAATGCTGAGTCTTTGATCCAAATGAAGCTGTTAGGTATTGTCTTCTAAACTCTCAAAGGAAACATCTCAATGGGCATTAATATATGTAAAGAACTAAAGATAGAGATAAATGTTACCCTTTCATACCCAAGAGTTTAAGCTGCTTTTGGCTTGGTCATGAAGAGGGGCATATTAGGAATCTGAATAATCTATCATACAATTCCATAAACAAGAGTGATTGTCAATTACAAAATTAAACTAAATCATAGACCATAGATTCTTCCTAAACTAGTGCAACCAAGTACAGTAGAACCAAAGCAAGTAAAAGGGGACAAGTGTGCGTAGAATTACTTTTTCCAAATCAAACCTATCAACCTAAGACATACTCAAGGACTGGAAAAAATAAATAAATAAAACAGGGAAAAAGGTTCAGCAGAAAGTCCACCAATCGCTAGGCAAAAATTTTGTATTTGAAGGGTAACGATGAACAGAGAACATGCTTGCTCCGTAGATAGCCAGTCATATTTAGACAGAGCAGCAACCAACTTTCTTAACAGCAGAAACATCATCCTTGTTTCCCATATTTATTGTTTGTCCTTTAGGTAACTCTACAGGATCATTCGCAGCTTCCAGTGCTTTCCGACTGACCACTTGATATATTTGGGTTAAGACTTCAGTGAATGCATTCGCAACATTCAAAGATTCAAGGGCAGATGTCTCCATAAAGAAAGTATTCTCCTTTTCGGCAAAGGATTTGGCATCTTCAGTTGAGACTGCTCGCAGGTGACGCAGGTCCGCTTTGTTACCAACAAGCATAACGACAATGTTGGAATCTGTGTGGTCTCTCAACTCCTTCAACCATCTCTCAACATTCTCAAATGTAACATGTCTAGTGACATCATAAACAAGTAAAGCACCAACAGCTCCTCGGTAATATGCACTTGTGATTGCTCGATATCTAAAGAAATAATGGTTAAGCAATGTTTCTTAAACTTTTAGGAATCTCTCAAAGAACCGAATTTATTATATGGCTCAAATTACCCCCAAAAAATGTCATAATAAAAATCAGCACATTGCAGCATTTGTCAGGAATCTAATCATTAGAAATTGTGCATAATAAACAATAATTTCCAACAATGTTCCCAATGGTTACTTTTCATTATGTTTTACATTTACAAGATCATGAATGCATTAATATTCAACATCGTATAGCACAATGACAACTGATTTCACTTAAGAAAACATAGGGATAATAACACACAAGGAAAAGAAAAGATGTACAAAATAATCACGTCAGGCAAAATTTATTCTGATCTTTAAATCTCTAATCATAGTCCATCTCGTATTAAGTCACTTGGGTTCTAGGCTCAACCAATCATGCAATCAAACCAAAATAATATGCTTAGATCAATTGCTGAGCCATGTACTGACATGGAACAAATAAAGCTGGTAACAGTATAACTAATCACGTTAACATAAGCCAATAGTTGCAAATATTGATATGTGTCTTTTAGCGATGCCACACTTGAAAAGATGAAAACTAGACTATCTGCACAGTGGTACCCGTTTATAGGACACAACACCCCGTGATCTGCCTCTCCACTCTTCTATGACTGTCTCAGACTTTGAAATAAAACCAACATTTTCAAATTTTAATTTTGTACGAGTTTCAAGAATCTCTACTTTATGCTTCAGAAGCAAATTTAGAAGCTTCCACACCCCAACTATTTTCTAGTCTTATCCATAACAGTAATGCGCCATGCTGACCAACTTCTAAAGCTAAAGTAGGAGGACCAAAATGCATTGAAGACATCCAACTTGCTCACTTCAACCAACATCACATCAGCTTACAGGCAAAAACCCCCGTTAGGGGGTACGTAGGAGGACCTCTCCGTAATTCAGATGTGAAGGTCAGAAAATAATTAAACCCTGCACTTAAATTATCTAAGTCTTTGCTCTGCACCCATAAATTCTCAGCTATTCAGTTCACTAACATCTCAGCGCTCAAAGTTCAGCTCTCATTGGACTCAAAACAAACTTCACCCCAATTCATCAAGTTCAATGCACAGTCAAAGAAGCTGATTGGTATCACACATTTTCTGCATAAGGAGATCCTAATACTTTCTCCAACTCCCGTAACTGTTCACATATCATTTGGAGAAATAGAAACAAAAAGACAAAGGAAAAAAAAAAAAAAAGCTTTTACAGTGTGCCAGGTGAGTAAAATAAGAAGGCATACACTAATCAGAATACTACCATTTAAGTCATTCAATTGACAATCAAACCATTAGCAATTAAAATTCCCGAGATCCACGGTACAGAATAAAGGGGAAAAAAGGAGTGAAATGGGGAAGAACCTTTCTTGGCCAGCGGTATCCCAAATCTGGGCCTTGACGATCTTGTCGTCAACCTTTATACTCCGAGTGGCGAATTCAACCCCAATAGTGGATTTAGACTCCAGGCTGAACTCGTTTCGAGTGAATCGAGAGAGGAGGTTCGATTTGCCAACGCCGGAGTCTCCGATCAGGACCACTTTGAAGAGGTAGTCGTAGTCATCGTCAGCTCTGTAAGCCGCCATGATTTGGGTCGGATCGGGGAGGCTTCCGGGTAAGGTAGTAGGTCTGAGAATCGGATCAAAATGCGAAGCTCAAAAGCATCGGCTACGAAAACACAGTAGCTCAGTCACGCAAGCCAGCAAGCAAGAGGGAAACGAAGAAGAGTTCAAAAAGACCGGGAAGGGGAGAGAGAGAGAGAGAGAGAGAGAGAGAGAGAGAGAGAGAGAGTTGAAGATAGTTTCAACTTGGTCTCCGTGGAAATTGATTGTTGTCTGTGTGGTTAAAGTTTCGTTTCAAGAAGTAGGAACGCTTTGCACCTTCGTGGTCTTTTATTTTCTTCTCCCAAAACCCGCGTTTGCTTTCGCTTTGTAAACTTTAAACTGGGCTCATCTGTTGGGGGCCCATTTCGTTCGCCATGCCACCTAATTTTGGGTTCATCGTGCTTTTTTTTCCTTCATTTATTTACTTTTTGTTACACATTTTAAAAAAGATACATACATATATAATCTATTATACTCATTTAACATGCACATTTAGAATAATTGAATAATTACTTGTATTCATTTTACCCTTTTTTTTTTTTTACATGTTGTATACATTAGGAGTTAAGGTGTAAACTTTGCCTCAAAAGTATATTTAGATGAACTAGCTAGATCCTAATAATAAAAATTTCGGGGTAACATAATATATAATGTTTCAAAGTAGTATATTATTGAAAATGATAAAATATCCCAACACATGAAACAATCACATTCAAAATATTGGTGAAGGCTTATTTGTGATTGTGTTATAACTCCCTTCGGCGTCTACCAACTGAATGAGAAAAGGCTTCTGTGGAACTAAAGGCCTTAGGGTCAAAATAGGTTCACTATCGTCTGATGATGAGATACCGTATTGGGCAAGATCCTTTGTATAAGAAATAGCAAGACAATCTTCTAAAGTTTCATTATTGTAAATACTTGAAACAAAAATGGTACAGAACAAAGAAGAATGCGGGAGAGATTAAGAAACCTCTGCCTGCCCGAATAAAGAAAGAAACTGCACTACTTTCTAAACACGAGATCATTATTCTGCATCTGGGTTTCTCTTCTTATACAGATGCACGTTCTTATCCAGACGGCAGATACACTATTGTTTTAGCGCGAGGATAAGGAACAGACTGTGTGGCCCTTTTTCTTATCCTCAAGATAGAAGAATTGAATATCTGCCATCTGATGAATAAGAAGGAAAACCCGTGCGTCTTAGCTTGGTTCTTTCTTTTTCTTCTTTTTCAAATACTGAAAGGGAGATTACTGATGGTGAGGATCTGGGCATCCAGGGCTGAGACGGGTAGGGATTTGCGCGTCATCCCCACCACCACTTGTTTTGGCATTTTCCACGAACTCATGGCGTGGTTTGGGTGCACTATTAATGTTGGAGAATGGGAAGGAAGGAAGGGAGGGAGCTTGGGGTTTTGAAATTGAAGCAGCAAGAAGGAAAAGGCACAGGAAAAGAGATATGAGTCTCCGAGAAGGACAAGAGACGTGTAGTAAGAAGGAAAAAGAGAGGGAGAAGGACAAGCCAAAGGAGAAAGAGAGCGAGGTTGCCACTGCTCCAGATCTGAGTAAGTGGATGGCTGGTGGACGCTCTGGTGAGAGCGGCTGGGTATATAAGTCAATGATTTATGACGGCATCACGGATAACTGCCGCATCATCGATTTCCGCTCATGCCACACACAAGTGGGTCCCATTTCAACCGACGTTTCTCCTGCGGTCTTTTTTTTTGTAAGTAATATTTTACCTCGTATATTAAAATATTAGTTAAAATTAGTTAAAGATAATAAATAAATAGAAATTAAAATTTTTTTCTCTAAAATATCTTTATTTATAGGAAAAGAGAGTATAAAAAATAAAATAAAAAATTAGTATAATAAGGAGAATTACGAAAGAGAGAGAAAATGTGACTGAGAGGTGATGATTTCGAAAATGTGATAATAAATAAAAACTAAAAGTAATCAACATCGTAAACCTTGTCTTGTAAGAATTTAAGATATCTAGCTACATCCACCCAAGGGGCTGGCTAAAAATTAATATAAGATATCATTTGATTTTTATTTTTATCTTAAATATAAAACTCAAATTTACTTTGTCTATAATATTTATGCATTTTTTTCAAGATACTCCTTCTAACAATAGTAGTTCTAGCCAATACACTTGACTAGCAAAGATATTTTAGGAAAAACAACACCTATTTATGACAAATAATTAATTTAACTTTTTTTAATCTCCTCAAATTAGACAGCTAGTTCTTATGATTATAACCAGAATTAGTAATATAGAATCTAATTAAGAAGTTAATGTTGGTCTATATAAGACCTATTTCACATACTTATTAATTTTTTTAAATTAATCTTATTAATATTCCTTCAACAATAATTAATGTTGGTCTATATAAGGCTACTTATCAATTTTTCTAAATTACCCCTATTAATATTCCCTCAACAATAATTAAGTGGGGAAATGAGAGGAATAAGTAAAAAAGATTATTAATTAGGGTGTTTTAGGAAAAAAAAATCATATGAACTAATTTAACTAATATTATTAATCTACTTAAATTAATTAATTAGATCTTATATAAAGACGGGAGGAGTACACTGGAAAATCTAGCTACTAATCTCCTCATGAATGGTTGGCTTATGACCTGAGCTAAAAGAAAGATTAATTGCGGGCTAAACACCATTTGACAATAATACCAAGCTGAACAATCTAAACTTGTAAAAAAATTAAACTTGTAGTAAGGTTCTATAATTACTTGCTATCAATTGATTTTTTTTTTTAAAAAAAACTAAACAGGGGATATCATACTACTTCTAATTTTAAATATAAGATCTCATTTGTATTGTCTTATATCTAGGAGAGGAAGTATGATAAAATAATGGTTGAGAAAAGCATTAAAACACCCTCGTATTTTTGGACTGAATGACAAACATTTAAATAAATGTATGTTTCTAGTCAAGTTTCACTGAGAAGAAAAAAGTTAAAAGGAACATTAATTCATGGTATCTCTTCCAGCAGATTGGGAATTCATGAATAGTCTTTATGACACATTAATGTTAGATTAAGTTTGCATCTGTAGTAAGAAATTTCAAGTTTTATACAACAATATGAATAAACTTATTTTGTTAAAATTAACGTCATTAACCCCACTTACTTTGATTTGATTTACCGGGTAGCATCCTTAGCATGAAAGAAGACCGAAAAGGAGCGAAAAGTTGGCACTTCAGTATATTCCATTGAGTGCGTCGGCCAGAAACAGAAATAGATGGCAAAGGCAAAAGAGGGTCATATCTAGCAGAAAAAAGCCTCTAGCGTGATGATAAGTTTGTAGAACTTGGATATCATTTGGAACCTAATATTTTAGCATGAAAAGGCAAGCCGAGGCAGGGAGAAGGGAGCAGACCAGACCCAAGGGCCTAGTCAGAAAGCCATACACTTTGTCATTCAAAGACAAAAGCAAACACCGAGATCGCAAACTGGGCCCGCCCCTAAGCAGTATCAAAAAAGAAGAGGTACGGCACGTTCTGGCCATGAAACAGTAACGCTTCCCAATTTGTATGCGTGAGATTCCTTGTCTTTAGAGGACCCGGCTTTCCTCCTTTTCTCTTGCGGTCCGCCGCCCTGTAGTTTTGGGGTAAAATGGGGATGGTGAACACTTTTTTTTTTTTTTTTTAAAAAAGATTATCCAGCCGCCTCAATTTTTTTCCCAGTGATACCTAATATGTTATAATAATTTCTAGCACACTCAGAACTCTTTGAATATTTTTCTAATACTACCCAGTATCTAATATCTTAATATCTGAAATTTGAAATATTTTTTGAGTAACACTCAATATTTAGCAGTTGACGCTGTAAAATATTTTTTTTAGTAGCATCCAGTATTCTAAAGTGATTTTCAATACATTTAACACCTAAAATATTTTTAGCAATGCTCAGTATCTTAAATAGTTTAGGATACTTTTTGCTACTTAAAAATATATATATTAAGAGTAAAACTGCACTAAAAAATATAGTTTAACGGTTCCAAAAATTATCTTATTACATTAAGTGTAGTAAAGATTATTTTAAGATATTAGATACTTTCAGAATAATATTTTAGACTGTTAGATGTTATTTCGAGGGGGGAAAAGAAAAAAGGTGCCGGCATTCCCCTTTTACCGCAAAATGGTGTAGTTTTGAGGGTAGAGGATGGGAGCGGACCGTAAAAGAAAAGGAGGAAAACCAGGTCCGTCTTTAGAAGGATCCGTGTCAAAGGGTGGTCGAAAGCGCTGTCTCCCATCAAAAGGATTTGCCAATAGCTGCCAAACCCAAACCCAAACCCAAACCCTTGTGATTTGCCCGACTTCATTACAGGCAATATAATCTTACTCGAGATACTATTAAACACTAAATATAAGTACATACATCTCTTAACAAATTTGAACCTTAACTAGATATGTTATAAAAGACTAGCCTTTTCCATTCAACTAGATCTCCATTGGTAAAACTAAAATAATTTAAACAGCATGTGTTGGAATTATCTTAAGAAGTTTGATCTATTGTCTCTCTCCCTTTGTATTGCCTTCATTGCAAATTGCAAGTTCATCGAAATGCATCATCTTCTTGAAATTCACTTGAGATTGGAGGACATCACCACCAAAATATATTATGCTTCAACTAACTAGCAGCATTAGGACATGGAGCTATAAATTGTCATGACATATAATTAAAAATATAACAAATTCTTTCATGACAAAAACTGATAACTTTAACGGGTAATTTAAAATTTTAATCGCATGAGAGTTGATAATAAGAACATGCAACTTTAGGATCCATAATTTAAACGTTTAAAGTTTAAGGGAGTTATATGCAGGTAATTCAAAGTTCAGAGGGTTTTGAGCATTTTAGTCATATATCTAATGAATAAAAATATATAAATTCTAAATTATATCAAATGTCAAATTATTAAATATTACAAAAATTAACGTATTCAAATAATCTAAGTGTGAAATTTTTTTCCCCATAAAAAAAGCCCAAACAATACTCTCTCTTTAAATGTCAATAAATTTTAGGAAAAATCTCAAAAAAGTGACTGTTGAATTTCAAAATGACAAATCAGGAATTACTACAGAAATATGTTATTATTTGCTTTGTAAGTGTAGTCATTTTTTTTACAAGTGTAGTAACCAATACTGATTTGTCATTTTGAAATTCAATAGTCACTTTTTTGAGATTTTTCCCTAAATTTTAATATTAGGGAAAGTATGATTTTCAAA